GGAAGTTATGGAACCTTTAAGACGTACAGCCTAGATGAAAGTGGTCATATAAGAACACGACCCTGATGGGGACACTGGGACTCTGGCCTCATTTCTTTCTCCCATTGTTTTCTAGCCATGATGTGGGAAATAGCTCCCTCTACCACGTTTCCCTCAAGATTTACAGCCGCTTTGCCACAGTCCTAAAAGGAATGGTGTTAACTGATCTTGGGCCCCTTTCCTTTAAAAGACTGACTACCTGAGCTATCTCCTCACGGCTACACAAGCTATTCCAGTATAGACACAGAAAGTATTCCACTCTAGACTGCAGTATAGAGCCTCAGAGACTGGAAGGGGTCCAGAGTGTGGAAAAGACCTGCCACGTTGTTTAACAGTTTCCCAGGCGACTCTAGACTCTTCAACCTTCTTAATGCCCGACCCTTTTGAAGGGACTCTGGCCATGGCTGGCACTCTGGAGCATGGCAAACAAGGCTCTGGCAGGCCTTGCCCCTCTCCCCAGTTCCCTCTGCCTGGCTAAAACCCCTTAGATTACATTCCTGAAGCTGGTGACCAGGGTCTACCCCTTTATTTGGCCACTTCCTCCTCCTAAGGCTGACTACCAAGGTCAGGCTATCAAAGTATTGAAGTACAGCAATCAAAAGCTCCTTTTGGTTCACCTAATTAACATGTCCAATTAAAATTAAACACCTTATCCAAACACAGGGTTTTCCCTTCTGCCTTAATAAACCACCAATTGTCTATGGGCCAAGTCTGTCTCCTCTCTATCCAGAGGCAATCCTTTATGTCGTCGTCGTCATCATCATCATCATTGTTCCCCACCTCCAAATACCCCCTCCTCCTCTCCCTTGTTCTCTATCTCTTGTCTTTGTCTCTTATTCCCTGCCCTTTGTCCCTGGTGGGGGGAGCGGGGGGAGTGGGACTAAATCTCCTTTGAGCTGAGAACTTGGTCTTGGGAGTCCTGAGCTGATACCGTTCCCTTTCACCTTTACCACAGTTCCTCATGTGGTAGTGACCCTCAACCATAAAATTATTTTGGTGATACTTCATAACTGTTATTTTGCTACTGTTATGAATTGTAATATAAATATTTGTGGACATAGAGGTTTACCAAAGGGGTCACCACGCACAGGCTGAGAACCCTGCTGTAGACCCTTTGTGCCATGATACCTCACATGGTACAGCACCATGAAAGCTTCCCACTAAAGAGATCGGAAACCTAGACAGGCCCATCTGGCCCTTTGCATCATGGGAAACAAGAGGGCTTAGCAGACACTCTGGCCTCTGGGCAACAGATACAGCATCTCAGTGTCCTTCCTAGAAGATGGGTTCACATCTGTCACTGGAAAAAAAAACAAAACAAAAACGGGGGTAGTCTCTGCTAAAGTTCCATTGGGTTGAGAAATTGAGGTCATTTATGTTTGACACTTCTATTAAAGAATAAGGAGAAAACTGCTTCCCAAGGTGTAAAAACGCTGAGTTTAAAGTCTACACAGGCCTTCTAAACAAGAAGTGACACCCCTCCTACCCATCGCTAGAATGGTGGCCTAGCAGGCCATAGAGTCCAAATGAGAAGTGGTTCTCTAGTCGTCCGCTTCAGGTATTGAGGACAAAGCACCAGTGAGAAGCCCTGTGCCACCCACACACCTGAGGACACCCTCTTTAACACAGTGGTGGGGACACAGCACATCCGTCTAAGGGCTCCTCGGGGGAACACACTACCTCTAAAACTCCCTCACCAGCCTCCACCTCTTCATGTTAGTCTCACTGTGATTAAAACAGCCAAGCTGTGGTGTGACGGGGAAGGAGGAGGCAGCTCTGCACTGCCAGGCGGTAAAGCAATCGGGGTTCCAACCCCCCCGCCCCCAAGAAGGCATGCCCCTCAAGCCAGGACTAAGCTGCAGCCAGAATTGAAACCCTGTAAGCAAACCCCACAGAGATTACATCAGAGGCAACCCCAACTCCCCACACAGTTCACAAGAAGCCTTTCCTACTCAGCCCCGGAAGACAGTGGACAGGATGACATCACCCACCCCCCAGATTGCCTCTTCACCCATGGTAAAACTACCAAGGAGTTTCACAGTAACGGAGACCCTTAAGGACCTTCAGAAAACGCCAACGCCAATGCTTTCAGATACTGAAGTTACACAGCTCAGAGGGGTGCACTGCCCTATTGGGGAAGGTTCTGCCCTCCAGTCTCGTGCACATACTTTCCTTACTCATTTTAACCATATCAAGAAACCCCCCAAGAGAGGCCCTTTCTCAGCAAGGCAAGGTACAAAAGAGAATGCGAAATGGCCTTGTTTTCTCTTGCAAAATGAAACACTGTTATGTTTTATTCATGCAAAGTGAAAACCCGTTTTCTTTCCAGCATTACAAATTGAATTTGCTCTTGTAAATTGCTGTTAAGGAAAAAAAAGAGAGAGAAAGAATCAAAAGCAAAGGAAAGTTAAATATATATATATTTAGCCGGAATACAAAGGCTCCTTCTTCTAGGGCAAGAAAGCTGGGGGGACCAATGGGGAGAAACAGACCCTTTAAGTGGCGAACTTGCTTCTTTATCTACTGTTCCAAAAGGGCTCAAAGACACCCCCCACCCCTAACCACAGAGACGCGCTGAGGTCCTGAGAGCCTATGGGGAGACACTAACATAATGTCACCTACCTTAACTGTGCTCTTTGGTGGGGATGGGTTTGGGAGGGGCTCTTCCTGCTCAGCAGGTAAACTGAACTCACCAAGTTTGCAAGGGTTTCCTATCGTCTATCTCCTGTGATCAACCATCCTAGAAGCCACCCGAAGTCTGACCCTCCCCCCTGCAGTGACTTGAAAAGGAAGCCATGTAATTAGCTGTATCTGTTAAGTGCATGCTGCTTTAAAAAATTAAGGGTAAACATTCATTAAGCGCTTGCATGTTTTCATCACTGTGCCAATTATTACACACACTTGCTGGTGTACACACACATGTGCCGTTGTCCCTGGCAGCCATCTTCGTTTCTCAGATGGGAGAAAATGAGGCACCGAGAGCTGGAGCAATTTTGCCATCTAGAATCCGAATCACGTTTCTCTGATACACAAGCAGCGATTGGATTTATTTTAAACAAACAGTGTAGACCGAACACTTGCATGAGTAAAATCTAACCTAAAACACACGTAACAGGGCTGAGGACATGACTCAGGGGTGGAGCGCTTACTTGGAGCCTTCAGTGAGGTGACACCACAAACAAAACCCAAACAAATAACAGATATGAATACACATTTCTGTTTGTGGGGATATATAACAGACTTCATTTTGGCTCCTGCCGTAAAGACAGATATGGAGAACAGAAATCAGGAAAGAGCAAGCCCTCTACAGAGGCTACTTGTTTCAGATGGGTAACGGCCACCTAAGAGCTTCTTTGTAACAGCCATTCACTAAGGTGAAGGCGAGCGAAGAGTTTCTTTGTAACAGCCATTCACACTGAGGTGAAGGTGAGTGAGCGCTTCAGGACTGCAGCCCTCCAAATGTAACATGAATCATCTGCCTACTGGCTCACCCTAAAGCTGGGGCTCCTCACTCTCATATAAAGAGCTCAGAGATTTATACCCGATCAGTGGTCAGAAAATTCTCCTTTCTCAAGTCTGGTTCCAGCACAAACGCCTGTTCTTTTACTGTCAAATATCTAGTCAGAAGCCTTCATTTCTGGTTTAGGATGTGGAACTGGTCAAGGATGATCAAACACACTGGTACGTCATATACAGGACAGCTGTATAAAAGAAGGCAGACCCTCCCCTTATAAAGGACCGTGTGACCCAATTTTTGAACAAACAAGCCAGAACGCTCAGGAAAACCATCCTTCTGGCACCTGAGATTTGATCTACTTTGTAACATTCTTGTAAACGTTCAACAGTTTGACCCAAAATGCTAGAAGACACCCCTATACCATGAGAACTGCCAAAACATTGATTATAACTTGTGTCAACTGAATGTCCAATTATTTTGCAATGGGGTTCAAGTACAGTATTAGCGGTAACAGTAGCTAAAGTCCTTAGCTACAACACGGCTTGAAAGTCGGAACGTTAGTTTCCTGTCTTTTGGAGAAGAGAAGAGCCATAAGTACTTGTGGTAACTTATTTCCTGGAGAATAGCATAAAAACACATGCGGAATGCAATTGTTATAACTAAACACTCCAAGTGTTAAAAAAACTTTAGCCAAACCCAAATGGCCGATACTCGCGACTTTTTAAAGATCGAAGGTTTAGGCTTACGTGTGATCTTACCCTTTCAAACAAGCCCTCAGGAAGAAACGTCACTAGTGACGTGAATCTGAAGCAGTCAGGACGGAACCAAGTACAACGACATGGATAAGAAAAGGAATGTGAAAAGAATGTGAAGAAGAGAGAAATAACGGGTGCAGATTGTCGGAAGGGTAGGGAACTTGTGAAAATGAGGGAGAAGTGTGTACAGAAGCCCTTTGAGCCACACGAGTGGCCAGGCTCCTCCCCCAAGAACTTCTACCTTCCAGGTTCCACCCACAGAATACTCTAACTGCCCTAACTGCTGGACCCCATCCTACAGAGTAAAATAAAAGGCCAATTTCTGGACATGAAACCCCATCAATATTCATCCTGGAAAGCTCCACCCCCTAAAAAACTCTATATAAGCCCTGTATCCTGTTCGGTTTGCCTGTTTCTCATCTGAGCAGAGGCAGCCACCCTCCTGTGTTTTTCCCTCCCAGTAAACCTCTTGTATGAGGTTTGTTGTGCGGTGTGACTGAGAGGTATTCCTTGGCTCCTGGCTGCCAGGACACCTTTTCATCCGAGCTGTTACACCGACAGTGTAGACCCAAAGGCACGCAAGAGTCAGAGATGATGAGTGTTTGAGGGATGGAAGCCAGGGAGGGAAAGTTTGGATGTCTTGGGAGGTGGGGGAGCAGAGAGAGATTCACTTGGGTCTGTTACATCGCTACAGTTTCCATTAAGATTCATACTGAGGGAGGTTAGGCTGTACCAGCCCAGACACTCACCGGCCATTGTCTCGGCCCACTCCCCACACACGGATGCTCACGATGGGCTGCGAGTGTAGCACGGAGCGGTCCATGGGGTCCACGAGGCTGAGCATGTCGTTTTCCAAAATCAGATACATGTCTTTGCCCTGGGCGTCAACAAGAAAACATGGAGACCTTACGTCTTGGGTGTACTTTCTCGTCAACTCTTATCTTTAACCATGGACACTTCTGGATTTAGATAAACTGCTAACAGGAAAGCCACGGAGTATTTTATAAACTCCACCCACCCCCTCCAGCCACCAACGGTTCCCTCCTCATGAGCCTAGTCTTTAACAGCGGAGTCATCTCTGCAGCCCGCAGACATTATCATCTCAACTATTAGTTCAAAGCGGATTCACTTTATTTCAAGCGAGACAACATGTAGGCATCAATTCCACAGCTCATGTACAGTGACCGTCAGGTTACAAATGAAAAGTACGCTAAAGGTAACGAGTCACTTTGCAGAGCAGGACCTTGGCACTCACAAGTGCAGGTGGGGAATCACGTGTCACTCTGCGCGTCAGGAGTTGTTCCCCAGAAAGCTGTTAACAGATGGCATTCATGGTGCACATGGTGGGATGGATTCTGAGCTGTGAATGTTCACTGATGGACCTTTGAGGATCTGAGGGTCTGTTCTCTCCCGGGGGCACGGTCCTGCGCGGGCCATAGTGGGGTTACCCAGCAGCTACTCTGGAGCTTCCTGCTGACAGTTTTTGACCATTGCCATTGCAAACACATCAACTCCCTTACTACAAGCTCTCCCAGAGCCCCAGGTGACTCACCTCTCCCCAGATGCCAACTGTGTCTCGGATGTCGTTTTTGCAGTAGGAAAGCTGCCGGATGCAGTTGTTGACAGCGACACTGCTCTTCCCGGGGGCAAGGTCCTCCTCTGCCATCTCTACCCAGCCCAGAGAGCGCACAGCAAAACACTGGAAGGCAAAGTCAGACAACACCAAGTGACTTGTGGGTTGGGGTCAATCGGCATCAGGTTACTTGGAACCACACGGTGGCAAGGACAGGGTCTGCTCAGTGCACTTTATTCGCTTCACTGTGGTGGTCACCCAACCCAGATAGCAAATCCTCTACTGCTGGAAGACAAAATTGCGACGATTTGTAGCTATGCCATTTTGAAAAACGCAGGGGCAACCTTCTGTCTAACCATGTAGCGAAGAGCACAGGGAGAGCCTTCTTCTGTCTACAGTGCAGTGAGAAGCACAGAGACAACCTTCTTCTGTCTACAGAGCAGTGAGAAGCAGAGACAACCTTCTTCTGTCTACAGTGCAGTGAGAAGCACAGGGACAGCCTTCTTCTGTCTACAGTGCAGTGAGAAGCACAGGGACAGCCTTCTTCTGTCTACAGTGCAGTGAGAAGCAGAGGGACAACCTTCTTCTGTCTACAGTGCAGTGAGAAGCACAGGGACAGCCTTCTTCTGTCTACAGTGCAGTGAGAAGCAGAGAGACAACCTTCTTCTGTCTACAGTGCAGTGAGAAGCAGAGACAACCTTCTTCTGTCTACAGTGCAGTGAGAAGCACAGGGACAGCCTTCTTCTGTCTACAGTGCAGTGAGAAGCAGAGACAACCTTCTTCTGTCTACAGTGCAGTGAGAAGCACAGGGACAGCCTTCTTCTGTCTACAGTGCAGTGAGAAGCACAGGGACAGCCTTCTTCTGTTTACAGTGCAGTGAGAAGCACAGGGACAGCCTTCTTCTGTCTACAGTGCAGTGAGAAGCACAGGGACAGCCTTCTTCTGTCTACAGTGCAGTGCTTGCAGATACTATCTCCACAGAAGAACAGCACCAGGGGCGTAATTGCAGAGTTAACTAACAGCATAGAGGCTTCTAAGTTCTCATCATCTGTGATAAGACAGATTTCTTTTTTAATGGTAAGAAATGTAATCCCATAAGACCCGGTATTATTAAGTACTTAGCAAAGAAAATCTAAGAGTGTGAACTATATGCAGTAGACGGCCAATAGAAAATGAACTCAATAGTATTTTTTTGGAGGTTTTTTTTCCCTCTCATAATATTCTGTCTGGACATATTTTCCTTTATAGATATTTTACTTATACGTTATGGATTTTGATTTTTTTTGTGTGTCTCTATGGGATTTCTGTGTGAGTGACTGAGTGTGTGTCTCTGCATCTATATGTGTTTCTTATACTTTTTCTTTGACTCTTTTTTATTTTTTGCTCATTTATTTTGTTCTATTCAGGTTTGTTTTGAATTTTATCCTATCTTTGTTTTTTTTATTGTGAATTTCATTTTAAAGAATATTTATTTATTATGTATACAGTGTTCTGCCTGCATGCACACCTGCATACCAGAAGAGGGACCAGATCTTATTACAGACGGTTGTAAGCTACCATGTGGTTGCTGGGAATTGAACTGAGGACATCTGGAAGAACAGTCAGTGGTCTTAACCTCTGAGCCATTTCTCCATCAGCAGTTTCATTTTTTAAAAGATGCCTGTTTATTTTCTAATGAGAGAGAGCTAGAAAGGGTAGGGGCTTTGGTTGAGATCTGGGAAGATCTCTAGGAGGGGAAACCATAATCAGAACGTTGAATAAAAAATCTCTCATTCACTCACACATACACACACACACACACACACACACACGCCAAAAAACAAAAAACAAACACCCCCCCCCAAAAAAAAACCCAATGATGTGCTTATTTCAAGAAGCCAACACTCCCAAGACATGAAACGTGATATGCATCACGGGCAATGCTCTTGATCACGAGAGCTGCCATCCCCAAAAGATCTGAGTTTTCTTTCACCCCTCCCTGCACCCTGAGGTCCCCTCAAAGCTATGAACCAGTTTAAGAGACCAGTTTCCAGGGCCAGGTGGGACAGACAAGCAGCCACCTTCTTTTGAAAGCAAAGAGGCTGACTCTCAAAGAGAAGCTGCCAAGTTTACAAATGAAAACTTCAAAATGAAATGAAGAAATGTGGCGATCTATCCCAATGTGACCAACATCAAGTCTGGTCTAACCTTCTCCACCCGACACCATCACCAGAGTGGGCAACCCCTACCTGAGGTGCTAGTCATACTTCCTCAAGGGGGAGAACTCAATAAAGTGCCAAACACAGAAGCTACACAGGGTATGCACAGCACTCACAGATGCGCTCGGCCAAGGTGGGAAGGCTGGGCAATGCTTCCTTGTGTCTGTGCAGTCGGGGCATGCCTGGGGAAGCGTCTGTTACAAATAAATTCCAAAGAGAAGGTCGTCCTAGAGACTGGAAAAGCTACTCAGCTGTTTGTCCAATGGGTACAGCTGTGGCGGAGGCCTCACAGTTGTTGTTGTTGTTGTTGTTGGTGGTGGTGGTGGTGTGTGTGTGTGTGTGTGTGTGAGCTGCAGGGGAGAAGACACTGCTGGTCTGCCCTTCTTGCAGTTCTGCTTTCCCGGCCACCAAAGCAAACTCTACTTCTCCAGGTGGCTAGTCAAAAATGCCTAGGCACACATCACCATACACCCTGTTTTACTAAAATCCACTTCCTGGCTCTGACTGATCTCATGGGCACCCTGACCCCACTGTTTCTCCAGGGAGTCAGGGAGGCTCAAACACGACTCTCCAACTGGTTCCCAACACAAACCCTCATTAGCAAAGTCAGTGTCACAACCCACCCCCTAGCCTTGTCCTTAAGACCTTGTCAGGTCCCTCCTGCCTCTAAAAGAACTGACTTTTGGTTTGGATAATATTTACTTGCATTCTTATCATTATTTTGCATGTGCACACATACATACACACATAAGTACGGAGCCAGGGAGTCTTCGGCTGCTACACTCTGTGTGCAGGTGTATATGTAAAGAAGCCAGAGGTAAATGCTGGGAGTCTTTCTCGCACTTTCTCCACTTTATTTCCTGAAACAGGGTCTCTCCTTCAATCTATAGCTCCACAAATCAGGACGGCTAGCCAACAAACAGGCCCCCAGCTCCTGCCCATCCCAAAGACCATTCCCTTTTAAGGCTATCACAGGGTCCCTGCTCAGGCCTTAGGATCTACACCAGAGGTTGACCTCACTAGAGTTTGGACTAGGATAAATATGTATTTATTGTCTAACCTACCTCTTTGGAGGGCATAAGAAGATAGCTCTTTTTTTTTTTTAAATTTAATTTTCGAGACAGGGTTTCTCTTAGCTTTTGGTGCCTGTCCTGGAACTAGCTCTTGTAGACCAGGCTGGCCTCAAACTCACGGAGATCTGCCTGCCTCTGCCTCCGGAGTGCTGGGATTAAAGGCGTGCACCACCACCGCCTGGCAAGAGGATGGCTCTCAATTCACAATAAGGTAAAAGAATACTGGCTACAGGGTTGGAGAGACGGCTCAGTGACTAAGAGCACTGGCTGCTCTTCCAGACGTTCTGAGTTCATTTCCCAGCAACCACATGGTGGCTCACATCCACTTACATATACTAGGATCTGATCCCATATTCTAGCATGCAGGTATATAAGGAGAGCATTCATACATAAAATATAAATAAATTTTAAGAATACTGGTTACCTTTTGTTCCTTAAGTGCAAGCTGACATGGATGTCAATCTAAACAAACTCAGTAAAACATAACAGTACTGTTCTTGGCTAAAAGATAAAACCATCCAATCTTCTACAGCACTTTCAGATTATCATTTTTGTCATAAGGAAACAAAAGCCTGAACTATCATCAACATCAGAAATTTATTCAAAGTCACTTCCTTGCATAGTCATGATTTCTGGTCTTCACCGCCATTGCATGTAGCCAGAGACAAATGGTACAGAGGGGATACCGTACCCCACCATGAGTAGCTACAGCTGGGTCCTTCCCAAAGGGGAGCAAAGAGCACCAGCACTGCGTGGTGCTGCCCCCACGTGGTCAGGAAGCTTAAAGCAGTCATTACACTACCTTAAATTCAAGAGGTAAACAAAACTGGCTCTTAGGAACAAAAACTTAATTTTAGGTAGGGGAAGAGCTGATATATTTATTCAAATCACTTGCCTTTTAAAACGTTTTAATAATGAAATTAAATATGAAAAAAAATCAATAGACACATTTTTGTTTTGTTTTGCTTTGAGACAGGGGTTTCTTCTCTGTTTAGCCCTAGCAATCCTGGACCAGACTCTGTGGACCAGGCTAGCCTTGAGCTCACAGAGATCCGCCTGCCTCTGCCTCCTGAGTGCTGGGACAGCGGCTCTTGAAGAGGGGAAGTGAGCAATGGTGCAAAGTCTGCACGGTGCGATCAGGTGGATCTGGGGTCAGGTCATGGCTCCTCAGTACGCAGAGAGTGGCTGCGGTGAGCCACTGAGGGCTCGGTTTCTCCACATGTGAGATGGGAAGATTACACACTTTATAGTGCTAGGGCAACTGAATGATAACGGTCCGGGCATGGCGAGAAATCATTGGGTGGTTAATTCCAATCATTATTGTCAATGAATACTGCTTTTGTTGTTGTTGAGACAGGGTTTCACTGTGTAGTCCTGGCTGTCCTAGAACTCACTCTGTAGACCAGGCTGGCCTCAAGATCAAAGAGATCTGTCTGTCTCTGTTTCCTTAGTGCCGGGATTAAAGGTGTGTACCGCCATGGCCCAGCGAATATTCTTTTCTACTAGTGGATTTTAAAGATTGCTGGAATTGTACAGATTTCAGCCAGCGTTAGGATGCGGCTCAGATTTCTGTAGACCATGACGCTCTGGGGACTGCTGTGGAGGGGCAGCCCTGTTCTCTCCCCACTGTGGCGCTGCTCTGTGGACTCTGAGTGGAAACGCCTGGTTCAACCCCAGGACTGCCATTGCCACTCCTGATCTCAGCTAGCCTTTCCTTTTCGTGTGTGCTCACTGCACATGCATGAAGGCCAGAAGTCAGTTTTGGGTAATTCCTCAGGAACCATCTGTTCTGTTTCATTAGACAGTATCTCTCTTCTGGGACAGGGATCACTGAGCTCCTGGGAACCACCTGTCT